ATCACTTTCATAGATTATCAGTTGAAATAGAATCATATAGTTCAATTTTCTTTGAAAAATGACCGGAATCATCTGTGACACTTCATAAACAATCATCCAATTAGATTTTTTTTTTCAATAAGTAAATGAATACTTGTTCGGTAATTAACTATACATTTAGATAATCTTACTATTGTCTAAAAAAGTTCTAAAAGCATCATCTTTCTTCTTCTTCTTCTTTTTTGTCATATAATCAAACTTTCTCGATGAACATATTCTATTCTTTTAATATCATATAATAAATTAAAGCTCGATAAATTGATGTACACAAGAGACAAAAAGACGATAGACTTGTAATAGCAAAAAAAATCGATTTATATCCATCATTTACATATGATTAGAATATTTATAAATTTAATCCAACTAGATATATATAACTATTTCATAAGAATAAAATATATGACAGTTGATGAACGTTGAAAATTTTTCTTGTTGAATAAATATCTTTTAAAAGATGACATTATTACTAAACGACCTTGCTATTGACTGAACAGGAAATTATTTTCATGAGAAAATCACAACTGAATTTTTTTTCAATAAGGATATCATTATTTCCTTTTTTTTTCTTTTGTATTATAGACTAATACCATCATCATTATCGATACTTATGATATAATGAACCAACTTCTTGCGTCTCTTCAAAGGATATAAAGACAAGCAAATTCTTACATTCAAAAGTATCTTATAAGAAAGACATGTTGCGCACATGAATAGTACAATTAAAATTAGAGAATATATATATAAACGTAAAGAAAAAAACTGATCTTTAGATTTCTTTTTTTCTTCTTCATAAATGCATGCATGTGTCAATGTCCGGAATCTCAATCTGTTAAACATATAGATAAATATATACATTGTGTGCATGTGTTTGGTTTTCATGGAAGAATAAAAATTGCCTCGGGTAAATCTCTATGTTGTCAATAACCTCTGATTACAGACATTTTCTTCAATAAAATCTTTACCTGTCAGTTAAGTGAGAGAGAAAAAAAAAGAAGTAAATTCGAACTAAGTTTTTATTAGACATGCAATTTTGTACTTTTTATGATTTTCTTGTTTCTGTCTCTCTCCCTCTCCTTTTTGTTATTGCCATTTCCTCTTCTATCTTTGCTCTTGTCTTCAATCACGATGAAGAGAGAGAGAGAGAAAAACGAGAGAATGAAGGGGAAAAAAGAAATAAATAGATAGCACACTCGTCAGATACACATGCGAACGTCGAAATGATCCATGATCGGAAGTGACACACTTAAAAAATACTTTTTTTCTACTTCTGCTATTCATTGGAAATCATCTTTTTCATTCATACTTACTTTTATCATTATCATTGTTTCATCATTTATTTAATATTATCTCTATGGTAAGATAGGGAAAAAAAGAAGACGAAGAATTATAAGAACGTGTTTTTTTTACAATCATGGCTGATGTTGTTCATCGTATTAATGAATTAACACATACACGTCTATCATGGTTTGGTTGTTCTGATGATGATGCATGTAATCGTCTCAATCATCGTCATACTGTTTTAATGTTATTAATCTTTTCTGCTATTCTTACTTCACGTTTATTTATTTCGGATTTAATTATCTGTTGGACACCTGGTGAATTTACAGGTAATTAAAATTAAGATTTTTTTCTTTCTCTCTATATATATTAAAAAGAGCAAAAAGAAATCATCTATTGATTGACAGGTTAATTAAATTGTTGAACTGTTGTAGTCTATATGTCTAGAAATATAAACATAAGTATATTCGTCTAAACAATAAAGAGTAAAGTATGACAGACTTGACACATATATCAATGATGACTACTATCATTATGAGAAAGATAAATGAACTTAAAGCTTGACATGACATTTAATGGTATATCTATGTATCTGTCTTCATACAAATCCCCTTCGGGTATAATATGAACTTTGAATGAAATAAATTGATTTTTGTTCTTTAAGGTAATTTTGTTTCTTATACTCGTCATTATTGTTATGTAACAAATACTTATTATATATCCGTAAATGAAACAATTCCAACATTAAGTAATTCTCATATACGTCGTAAACGTTCTATTTATTATTATCAATGGTTACCGATATTACTTGCATTTCAATCATTATTATTTTTAATTCCACGTTTAATATGGAGTAGTTTTAGTTCACGTTGTGGAATTAATTTACAACATTGTTTATCACCACAATTTGATTATCGAACAAGTCGATATAAAGTTCATCATATAACAACAATGCTACATCTATTATCACGTGCTAAACATCATGATTATGATCGTATGACATCAACAAATACATCAAATCATACAAGTTTTACAGCCAATATGCATTTATTAAAAACATTTTGTATTCCATTTATATTTTTAAATGAGAATCCATTTCATGGATATTATTTAGCTAATTTATTTCTTATTGTTAAAATACTTTTCTTAATTAATTCACTATTACAATTAGTATTTTTAAATACATTATTAACAAAAAATTCCATTTTTTATGGACTTGAAGTTCTAGAAAATTTTTATCATGGTGAATATATTGTTGGTTCAAGAATATTTCCAATAAGTGTTTATTGTGATTTTAATATTATTAAAATTGGTCAACCAACATTATATACAGTAAATATTAATAGATAATCATCATTATTCTTATTATTTATTTTCTAGGTACAATGTTTATTACCAATGAATGTATTTAATGAGAAAATATTTACTATTATTTGGTTTTGGTTAGTTTTTTTAACCATAACAAATTTAAAAAGTGTTCTATTAACGATACTTCGAAGTAATTTTCAACAATTTAATTATTCTTATGTTGCAAATTATTTAGATTTATATTCAAAACGTGAACGTTTTAAAAGACATATACTTGTTAAACGTTTTGTATTTGATTATTTATCAGCTGATGGTATATTAATATTAAGATTAATATCAGAAAATATAAGTGATTTATTAACAAGTGAAGTTATAAATGAACTTTGGAATGAATATAAAAAAATATCAAATTTATCACCAGCCAATAGAGAAAAATATCAACGTTTAAGATTAACAAGTCCACAAACGACAGATATGATAACAACAACAACAACAACAACGAGAAATATGCATTATCGTCCTATGTTTAAATAAATCTTCATTCGAAGAATAACAATTTTATTGTTATAGTTTTTTTCTTCTTCTCATGAATGTATTTTAGTGTAAAGTTTTGTTATAATAGTTGTTGATGATTGACATTTTTTTTTGTTAATATAAAAATAATATATAGAGATACGTTTTGATTTTGTCAAATGAAACTTTACTAAATGATTGAAGTCAGTGTATATTAAATCAAGCTTAGTTATATATCATTTGGTTAGATTAGCCGATAGAGAAGAATAACGTATAGAAGCAATGAATACTGACCTTGATATATATGTTCTTCTTAGCGCCTTCTAGTACTTCCGAGCTGCGGAAATAAGTCTTTTGTTCCTGGTTCTATATCTATAAAAATCTTCAAAAGACTATCGTAATATTCACATCATATATTAGATTACTTTTATAAGAAAATTTCAGCTTTTCACAACTTGACAAATTAAGAATCGATATAAATTAAAAGACATAAGTATTATAGATCTATCAGTAGAATAAGAACAATAACATCATAATCGTGTGATACAAAACATGCAAGATATGTATAGACTCTTGTTATCTTTTTTGTCTATGATTTATATTGATATTTTTTATTTTTAATTAACCTTTTCATGGGCGAATTTTGACTGATCGGTTTCTGTCAATTTTTATGGCATATTATCGTTCTTTTTATCGGAGCCACTGTTCCTAATGTATTATAGCTATATGATCTAAAACAAAATACAGAGTATCAATACTTCATTGAAGTAACTAATAAATAAAATAAATATTCTTTGTAACTATACATGACTAGAATTCAACTTGATGATACATATATGCGTAATCAATCATCTCGAAGAAGAATTCTTAAGAAAATTCAGAAAATGATTTTATTCATTTTCTTTTCTTCTCTAATGATTGACGAACTACTCCAGAGACTTTTTCTAACGACAATTGGATCTAGAACAAATTATAGCTAATTATTCATCTTTGCTAAACTAATCTTAATTGTCAATTAATTATTATTTCAATGATAAAGATACTAGATGAAACTTTTATTTAACATCCAGAGACATCTGACGTAGTAAAATAAAATTTTCAAAAATGTCTATCGCTAAGTGACATTATTTTGTTGTTTACTGTCAATGATCAAAAAGCAAGAAATTTTGAAGAATCGAAGAAAAATATTTGAACAAGAATCGATTCGAGTTGGGTAAGTGAAAAAGAAAATAAAAAAAACAGTTATTGAGCACTGTTTTTGCTACGATATAGTAGTATTAATCGTAACGAAACCTTACTAATAGATCGATTATCCATAATCTAAAACATGCAACTCTTCGAAAGAATCTCGATCTATAGTCATGCATTAAAATAAAAATATTTGTAGTAGTTCTCCGAATATAAAGTATTCGAAAGCATAATTTAGGATTTGATCTAGGTCTAGTATTTTCTTATATTCGAAAAAAACTGGTCAAGATGGTAACATTTTATATTAGATATTTAAACTCCTCCAACTTTATTTTTGTTATTTTCAATAAAAAAAAAAATTGTTTACTCTTCATTCTTTCAAGCTGTCATGAAATAATAATCTTCTAGGGATTGAGACAAAAAACAACAGAATCACTTATTTCTTTTTTGTCTGAGTCGCATCGCACTTTATATTAAATTTAAAATAACCAGTCCATGTAATATACATTTAGAATAATGTCAAATAAATTCACCAGGAAACCTTATGGTTTGTTATATAATACCGATTCTTTTAAGTATTTTATGTGATGAATAGAATAAGAAAAATAAAAGCTGTAAAAATTTAATAATTGTTCTCATTCAAATATTTTTTTAAATTCAAGATTAGGTGTAACATGACATCGAAAAATGATCGATTCTTTGATCCAAAAGATGGAACATCTGCAAATGTACCAATTATACCTATAAATGCAGAAGTATTCCGTGGAAAACGACCATTCGATGCTAAAGTTTTAGTTGGAAATTGGTATGAAAATCGATTCAAGGTAAGTCGTTTCAAATACTAACGTCGTTGACATAAATCTCTTATAATTTTATTTAGTTCAAAGATTCAGGTCATCGATCAAAACCATTTCATCAAATTGCTTATCCAACACATGTTGGATCTGTGCCTGATACTGTATTCAGACGTAGAGCACTTGGATCAAAAGAACAACGACTTGGACGATTGATTCTTGATCATCATGATATTGATTCTCAAAAACAACTCATCAGCAGGTATCATAAAATACAAAAAAATTCTTTATTTCTATTTAATTTTATTATATTCAAACAAAGTTATGATGAACAATACAATAAACGAGGAGCTTATGGCGAACATCAAGTAAATAAGATACATTATATTTTCATTATATAATAAAATATTTTTCAAAGGATAATTCAGAAAGAAAATGGGCAGTACCAGATAATCATTGGTTACCTGAACGTAGTGATCATCCTCTTGAAAATACACCTACAAGTTGGGGTTTAGTCGAAAGAAAACGTGCACAAACTCAGTTTCTTCAACGTCAACGTACAATGCCTGATTTAAGGTACATATATTCTTTTATTATACTTCTTTCTTTATTTTATATGTGTATAGTGAATATACGAATCGTTATATACCTCATCGACCAGAAGAATATTCATCACCAAAATATGTTGGTATACCACGACTATATTCATCAACAGTTGAACGTACAAATTCATTGAATAATAATATATATAATCGTTCAACATCACTATATAATCGTGGAATACCACCCGCTATTGATATAACTGATATTGATCATGTATATTCATTACGACGACATGCAAATGTACCACGATCTTGTTTTTATCCAGAATCTGTATCGAAACATACTGAACATAGACTACAACGACATACTTCTTGTCTAACTGAATCAATGAAAATCACAGGACCACTGACATCATCCATGGAACAAATGCATATTCAAGAACAAATTGCTTGAGTAGAAAATCACTATATATTACGAGTTTTTTTTTATTTTTCCACTTTAATAAATATAGAAATATTATACAAAAAAAATTTATCTGTCATATGTGTTTTAGGTATAGTGAATTACAGGGTCGGAGTTGCATTTGTGACAGATTCAAGTATTTTTTATTCTCGTTTAAGAATATTTTTTATTATTTATATGTTAAATAACGAACAAAAATATACGCTGCATATTATGATATAATAGAACATTCTGATTATTGTATGTAGCATGTTGAAATAATAGAAAGAAGCTAAATAACAGAAATATGTTTCAAATTTTTAATAAAAATGTCGTGTTGATAGTTAGATAAGAAAATGAATTAAATATTTTTTGCTTTAAAATATTTTACGTATTAATTAAATCAAGAAGATAAAAATACAATGGATATTTTATTTGGATCTTATACTAGTACATAAGTTTAAAAAACTGATCTAGGAATAGAGAATTTCTGTTAAAACTGCTTAAATAATGAAGATATAAGGATAATTAATCGAGAGTGATAAAACATTGGAATACTTTTTTCGTTGTACTACGACGATGACGTAATGGTATGAATTCAGAAACTGGTACAACACGTGAACAATCAGCAACTTTTAATGCTTGTGTAAATAATACTTGTAAATTATCATGACGAATAGGAGATCCTTTAATAAATAAAAGTATCAATAGAAATTCTAAAGTAATTAACCTTACCAAGGGATATTTCAGCTTGTATTATAAAGATAGTAAATAGGACGTAGAGAATAATTTTTCCAGAAACCATTGTTGTTATTATTGTCTGTCAGAGGATTAACATTGACAGTTACGTCCTATATGGAATATAATCGGATCAGTATGAAAACCTACTGATGTATGCTGGCCTTCTGACTCTTTAAATAGCAACAAAAGTATGTTGAAGACGAAAAAGAAACATATTTTCGTCGATATTTTAGAAGATTAAGTACGTGAAAGTATGCATAAAATTAAAAGTAAAAACGTGAATAGTATTCAAGCGAAGGTTATAGGTTAAACCATCTACGGTATTGTCTATAATATCAGGCATTTTAAAAGTTCTCAAAACTATGTGTACCTATTCTATATTCATTTATTATTTTTTCTATCCAATAATAATCATAAATTAATACGAAAGATTTTTTGTTTTTATATAAATCAACTATCTAATGAAATCTATACAAAAGCCGATCATATCTAATTTTTAAAAATAGATCCATATCCACACCCACAAAATTTAGAATATACTGACGTATTTGAATGTTTCGTGATGATATGCATTCATCAATGTATAAACTATTTACAGTATCCCACTGACACACCAACATAATAAAAAATAATATTGTTATTGTTATTTTTTTCTGATCTTTTTCTGTTTAGTCTTGATTAGAAAAAAAAAAGGAAAACAGAAGATGATACACAAAAAAATCGAATATTTAAAGTGAACAATGATGATACAAATAGATTAATGGAATAGAATAAAGCAATGAAACAAATAAACAAAATGCGATGGCTAGACACACAAGAAAAAGAAAAAGAAGAAGAAGAAATAGGAAATAAATAGTGCAAATTATATACAAGATACAAAAGCAAAACCATTATCTGATGTCACACATACATGGAATGCAGTTCGTTGGAAAGAGAAGAGAAAGACCGTGAATATGAATATATATCTGACTACTGAATTACACAATTTTGGGTTCTTTTATGATGACCATGTGTGATTCTAAAAGATAAAATATATATTTTTTTGTTTAAATTAATCGATTATTTTACTTGTAACATTTCAGGATGGTGACGATCGAGATGATTAAGAAAATATTGACGATCATTATTTATTGTATAATTACATTTTGAACATTTATAAATAATTGCTCGATTTTTTTGTTGAACTAAATAAAATTAATATAAGATTATATTATGAAGAAAAAAACAAAATAATAATACTTGTTGTTAATTGTTTAAGTAATGGATTATTTTCTAACCAATGTAATTCTATAAAAAGCAAAAAGAAATATTTATTTTTGACAAAAAATATTTTTTCATTTAACATACCATAGTCAAACATTTGTTCATCGAATTGTATATCTCGTGTTTTTTCTTCCTAAAAAAAATATAATTAGAGTTAAAAGAATGTCCGGACTATTTTTGCTAGGTAAAAATTGAGAGAGAGAGTGCGATCGCACCCATTCAATAGATCCCGAATGTATATAGACTTACTTCTTGTTCGTCATCATCATTTTCAATATCACTATTATTTGATACAGTTGGTTGTTGTTGAAATTCTTGATCAAAATTTGTATTATATTTCATAGATGCTGCATGTGCTTTACGATGAACAAGTAAATCTGATAGATCTTCAGCTTCATAATCACATTGACGACAACGTAAATGATTATTTTGTGTACGAGAATTTGTTGATATACGTTTTTGTTTATCATTAGTTTCATCTTGTTGTTGATTTTCATCAACAATAATTAAACTATGATTTTCATCATCATCATCATCTTCTTCAACGATTTCTTCTTCATCTTCTTCCATTTCATTAGATTTTTGTTGTTGTTGCTGTTGTTGTTGTTGTTGTTGAGCAAAAAATGTTGACATTTGCATAGCTGCAGCAGCAAATGCAGCTGCATTTTGTTTATCCGCTGATACTGTCTTATTCACATCATTATTTCCAATAACTAAACCAAGACTCTAGAAAAAAAAGTCATTTACATATATGAGAATTTGATTTTATTAAGATTTATTTACCTCCATAACTTTAGCCATAGCTTTACGTCCAACTAGAACGGGTCCATGATGATTACATAAACGCATATGTTTTTTAACATCACATTTCCATTTCGATTTATAATCACAATTAAAACAATGATAAGGACTTTCAGCTGAATGAACAATTAAATGTCGTCGTAATTCAGCCATTGAATTAGCAGCAAATGGACATTGTTGACAAGCTAATGTTCGATCACGTGTATATTTCATTGAAGATAATTTCTGTTGAACATCATTACCAAAAAAACTATAATCTTCATCAGTTAATGGTGCTGGTGCTAATGCTCGATCATCAGTACCTTCATATTTTGCTTTAAGAGTTGTTTGAAATAAATATTTATCAGGTAATTCAACAATTTTTGCTGTATCATGTGCATGTTGTTTTTTAACATGTTTCTAAAAGTGAAGAAAAAAAACAACATTTTAAAATACTGTTTCAAACGATGCAAGATTTATTCTATTCTCTTACTTGAACATCCCATTTCCAACTTGAAGCATATGGGCAAGCCGAACAATGATATGGTTTATCTCTAGCATGATGACATCTCATATGTTGAATGAGTTCACTTCTCCATCTTCCACGATAATCACACCATCGACATTGAAAATTTCTTTCTTCTTTTTCAAATTTTCTTTGTTGTTGTTGCTGTTGTTGTTGTTGTTGTTGCTGCTGCTGCTGCTGTTGCTGCTGCTGCTGCTGTTGTTGATTTCTAAGATGATTACTATTACCATTTGCAGCTGCAACCATTGCAGCAACTGCATGTATTCTATGTTGTTGTTGTTGCTGTTGTTGTTGTAAAGGTGATGATGTACGTGGTGATGATGATCTTGAAGAATTTGGTGATTTTGTTCGTTGCATAAAAGCTGATGCTTGTTTAAATAAATCTAAATTTGTATTAATTGACATTTGTGATGGACGTGGTGAATAATTAAATTTTGGTTGAAGTAATAATGATGGATTAATAAATGATGAAAACATTGGATGATGAGGAAAAAATGATGGTGGAGGAAAAAACATATTTGTTGTTGGTAATTGTGGTGGTGGTAGAAAACTTGGTAATGATATATTTGATAGAAGTTTTTCATCATCTTGTTTTATACGTTTAATTTGTTGGTGGTGTTGTTCATCATCGTCTGAATCCATTGAATTTTGACTTCGTTCATCATCATCATCTAAATTTCTAATAGAATTTTTTTTAATTGTTGATGTTGATGATATTGATGAACATGTTGAATGATGATCACTTGTTTTTGTTGTTGTTGGAGTTAAATCCATCATTGAACGAGCTTGATCTCTATCACGTTTTTTATATGGATTTATTAAATTAGCTCCTTTACCACCACATGCATGTGCACGATCCCAGTGTTTAGCTAAATCCCAACGCCATTTATATGTTAATGAACAAACAAGACATTTAAATGGTCTTGATGTTGAATGTGATGCTGCATGTTTTTGAAGTTCCGTTGGCCAACGACCAACAAAATCACATTGTATACATTTTAATGGATTAACAGGATCACTTAAATTCCATTCTTCATTTTGTTGTGCAACATTTGTATTACGTGGTGGAGATTTTCCTGCTATTTCATTTTCTAATTCAACTAAATGATTTTTAAGAAAATGTTCATTGATACTTTCAACAGCAAGAAAACGTTGATCACATATTGAACAGATAAAAATTTTTTGTCCATATGGATTTGGTGGACTTGATGATGATGCATGTTCAGAATGAATTTCATCGTCACTATCATTTTGATTATAATTTGAACTATCACGTTGTTCATCATTACTACTATTACTATCACGATGAAGTTTTTTTGTTGGCGGATTTTGTTCATTAGATATTGGAGATGATATTTTCTTATGTGATTTTATTGTTAAATCTAATGGTGTATTTAATGATTGATCAATTATTGGTTGTTGTTGTTGTGATGGTGGTGGTGGTGGTGGCGGTTGTAGTGTTGCTGTTGAAGGAAATATTTGTTGTAAATCGTTTCGTGAAGCAAAATTTAACCATGAATATGGATTAAATGGAAATGCAGGATGGTGTGGTGGAGGTGCAGGAAGATTAAGAGATGTATGTGGTAACATATCACTTGTTCGATTCGTTATTTTTGATTGAATTGTTGTAGCAGATGAGGATGATTTAGGTGGACGTATTGTAACGGGTGCGTCAAGTGGTGGTGGACTTTCGTCGTTATGTTTTTCTTTCCAATGTTTATTTAAACTTTTTCTCCATTTGTATAAATTACCACATAATGAACAAGCAAATTTTACTAGAAGAATATAAAATTAATATATATATTGTTTTTCTTTTTTTCTCTTATAGTTTTATTTACCTGCACTTGCATCATCAGGATCAGGTACACGACGATATCTTGCTGGATCAACAGAGACGTTATATGGGCGTTTTCGATCAGGAATTGATGGTGTCTGATGTGTTGTATTCGAATGTGATGAAGTAACTGATAGATTAAGTTTCTTATTTGTACTAGTTGAAGGATTCTATAGAGAGAGAGAGAGAGAGAAATATGAATATGGATTGGTTGAAATAAATGAGAGCGAAAAAAGAAGGAGAAAAAAAGAGAGAGGGAGAGAGTGAGAAGGCGATGCCATCTTATTTTATGAGTACCCAATAATAATAACCATGACCGAAAAAATGATCTTTCGAGCAGGTGTCAGTGAGCAAAGAAAAAAAGAAAACAGAACGATTCCTGATTGTTATAATCTTTTACACGAATCAAACGAAAGCAAAATATATCATGATATAGTGTTAAAATAGAATTACATGCGTGAGCGCAAGTTCTCATATTCTCATGAGAAGACATTTAGAAAAAGAAGTCGAAAAGAGAGAATAAGATATATGAAACATCATCGTTTTAATCGAAAAAAAATGTACACTTGTAAATGATAAGACACATCGACAAAAAAAATGAAAAATCTGTTCATTTTTCTTTTATTTTTTTTTATAACTATGAAAAAAAAAAGTTTCACACATCATTACTGATTTTCTCTCTCGTGCGAGAAATTAAAAATTCACTTCAGATTATTGTTCTGACATAGACGACTATGATATATTCTATCATAAAATTTGATCCATTTTTATGATCTCAAATGGAAGTAATTAATCAAACGCTTCTACTGCTATGTATATATATATACATGTATGCGATTGAAAAATGAAACTTTGAAATATGCATAGAATAATAGTTTAATCCTGAAGAAGTTTTTTTATGCAAATATCTTGTAATAGTAACTGTCTGACTGCTGTTTTTCTTTTTACTTGAAAAATGAAAAGAAACATGCAAATTTTCATTTTTAGAAGAATATTAATTATCCTTATATATGTTCGATGTTTTGTTTCTTTTTTTTCTGTTAGTTTATTATTATGTCATGAAATTTTTGTTCGATAGAAACAAGATCAAACGATGATACATTAACTGATGTCTATATACTTGACAGCGATCAATTTTCAAGTGGAATTATGGTAAAATAAGTGTCAACTTCAATCATAAGATCAAGTCAAGAAAGATATTTAATATCCGATTTAGTCTCTTTTCTTCGAACAGAAGTTCAAATTTTAAAAGAGATTTTATTAGAATAAATTAATATACTACAAATTTCCTTTTCTTCTAACGAAAGTTTTCATATAATAAAATAAATTCTTCTATGTTACTGCTATTTGTTAACGAAAGTATTCGATATATAAAGAAAAGCTTTCATCGATTACACATTTATTCTTTGTAGTATATTCTAATGTATTCATGTCTATTGTTCATATATATACAATGAACATATTACTTTCGTGCATCGGTAATCAACTTTACAAGTTTATTCATACAGATTAGCGATGTTAAAAGAAAATTTTTAATGGTAATTATTTCTAATGTTGATACAACAGAAACTATTCCCTTTCATTTTATATCTAAATAAGCTCAAACTTAATAAATATCTCAAAACTAATTTTTAGTTTTAAAGATCGTCGAACTGAATTCAATAAAATTTAGTTTTCACTTTTACACACTAAATCACTCATACTCATTTCGCTATCCTAGTATCGTAATCATATTAGGCAAAAAATATGTTAATATGATGTCATGAGGTAAAACATAACTATATTTGTTATGAAACTCGAATTCACAGCTGATATACATTTTAAATGAATTCTCTATATCATTGACTATCATTCTGAATTTCTATTTTTACCTGTTCATCATCTGAAATTTGTTCATCATGTTCGTATAAAATTGGATTTTGTTCTTTTGAATAAATATTTATTGAATCTTCATCTTCTATTTCACCTTCCGATTCAATTTGTTGTTCACCTGAAGATACATTTAATTTTGTTGATGATGATGATGATGATTGATGATTTGTTCTAATTAAATAAATGTAAACGAAAATAAATAAAAATGAAAATTATTAAATTTTACTGATGAGAATTCAAATGTAATTGATAATCATATGGTGATAATGAATAATATCGACAGATCTCACATAAAAATACTTGATCTTGTCCGTGTTCGAACTTCATATGAGTTTTAAATTCGTTAATTGTTGATGATGAAAAATCGCATTCTTCACATTGACGTACTAATCGAGAACGAGGAGCTAATTGTTTTCGTCTAAAAATAAGTTATATGAATTTCGAAATAAGTAAAAACTAACGACATCTACAATAATATGGTATTTGTCATTAATTTCTCAAATTTGTTCGTAAGCTTTTTTATGATGCAAATCTTAGATTCAAATAAATAGAATATAGGACACATACGTAAGCTCTTATGATAACTATAGTTTGATTAATGAATAAATTCGAATTATCAACGAAGTCCGTGTATTATATATGCAATTTAGAATGTAACAGTCAAAAAAAGATTATCTTACATGTATAGAATTATACCTCAATGAAAAAAACCCAGTATGTCAACTAATATTTATTTTACATGAAGTCACATTGTAAAAAAACTGAAATTAATAAATCAATTTATTAATAATATTTTTCAGTATATAAAACATTATTGAAAGTTTTATATATTAGAGTAGATTATTTAAACTCAAATAACTATGATCATCAAGTAATATTCGGGACTATATTTACATTTGCGGTCTCAATGTACTTTTGTAGGTACGGAGTTACGAAACATTTTATAATTTAATATATATATACACATAATTACAAATATTCATGGCATATTAAGTATATAAATCGAAAATATGTTTTTTTTATATTGAATGTTGCAGCGAATTTTAATGATCAGACTAGAATAAAAACATCCTAGACCACCAGAATTCATTACTATGTCATATATGTAATCTTCGATTTACGAAATTCTATATTTTTTTAGAAATATTACCTGCTACTTCTTCCAGTAGTTTCTCCGTGTATTAATTTTTGTGTATGATTTTTAACATGATTATTTGAATTTGACTTGTCTGAATGAGCATCACAATCACTGGAATAGACAAAAGAAACAATAGAAATAGTACTTGTCTAACACATTATCATCATTTTATTGATAACCTATCTTATTTAGGTAATCATCAAGATGGAAATCAAAAAAATTAAAGAATTAAAGCAAAGGTGTTGTTGAATTTTAAGATTTTATGTTTACTTAACATTTCATTTAAATAATCAAAGATGAAAAAAAAATCAAAAAAATTTTCTTCGTTTGGAAAAATTTAAATCTGATAGCAAAAATAAAATAAAGAAGTAAAATGAAAGATTTTAATCTTTTCGCATCAACAGTCATTAACCCCAACGGCGGCATAGACACCGATGAAGCAGACACATTCACATGTTGAGAGGTCGATTGAATCAAATGATAATTCATATGGTCAGACATCGACCAGGCATGACATTAGACTTCACTCTCCTTTTTCTTTTTCTCCCATTACTCTGTTGCATCGATCGACCACCACCATCACCATTACTTTATAGTCAAAGAAGAAGAAGAAGAAGATGAAGAAGAGAGAGAGAGGGAGCGTAAAGATTTCTTGTTCTTTTTTCTCTGTCTCTTTCTAAATATATGTATATGTATGTGCACGATGCGATTAGAGGGGCGTCACTGCGACAGGTAAAGAAAAGAGAGGCGATCGTTCACTTTAGCTCGTTGATTGAAGATGGTAGAGAGAAAAGAGACATTCTTTATCTAGTACCGTATCAACAAAAATGCCCCCGAAAGGCATTATTATACAGCTCGATACGCATCGATAATTTAACAGAGAAAGCAAAAGAGAAAAAGACAGGGAACGAGAAATAAAACAAAAAAACGAAAACGAAAAGAAATATATAGCTGGATTAACATTATGCCAAGAACTTTTAATCTTTGTAAACATAAAATACAAATAGTCGATTTTATAATGTAAATAAAAAACATTCGGATATCCGTTTTCGGTGACTGCCGTCAAATAGTTAAACAAATAATCTTACCTGATATCATCAGTATTGGTTAGGAAATAATCCATCGTATTATTTGTATTTTTATCAAAGATATCAAAACGATGTTGTTGATGTCGTCTAAAAAAAAGAAATGAAAAAATAAAAGATCAATAATAACCAATGGCATCAACTATTATAGAAATATAACCAATCGATTTATAGACTATACGCACAAGCATGGAAAGGAAGAGAGAGAGAAGAAAAAAATCAGCCGACGTATTTTTACTAATAACGACAATCCAAGCTTTGATATGGATCATTTAATGTGATTTTTACCTTTTTTTTAGGGTTTCTGTAAGAGACAGTATATCTGTTTATTGTTCTTTGTATTATATAAATAACGAAAAGAAAATGAAGACGAAGAAGAAGAAAAAAAACAGCGAAACAGGATCATCATTATTGCGTTCTAGAAAAAAAGAAAAATAACTGACGCATTACCTTACCTGTCGAAGGAAGAAGCAGAGACAGCATCGGTAGCTAGCATCATCGTTCTTTTTGTGCTATCTTATGAATAGGCAACAAGACAAAAATGAAGAGAAAGAGAGAATGTTACTTTCTCTTTCAATCTATCGAATGCGAATCAGAAGAACGAGAAAAAAAATCCATGTTGATGAGAAAGAGAAATCTGCACTGCTGTTCTATATATATATATATATGTGTGTGCGTTCACCGATAGATAATTATGAGAACAAGGAGTAAACGAGTATAGTAGTTGTTGTTGTAGTAGTAGTGGACATTCATTTCGTTTGTTCGTTCTGTCTCTCTTTTCGGTGACTATACTGCAATATCTCATCTCTTTACTTCGATGTGCTCAGACAGACAGACAGACAGACAGTCGACGATGATGGTAGCGTTGAAAGAAAGAGAGTGGGAGGTACTAAGACAAAAGTTCTACCAATCACTAACATCGTTGTATGTCACGGATGAATGCTCTTTAACAAACTGCCAGCAACATTGTACTATGCTTATATTTCTGGCTCACCTTCTCTACTGTATTTATCTGCCTGACTGCAAAAACATCGTATATCATTCGATTCGTCACAAACGATGATGACACTTATCCATTATTCTTCTCGCTCTCACTCTCACTCTCTCTCTTCCTATACACATCGGCAATATGATGATGCTTCAGGTTGATCGACCACGAGTATAGAGAAAGCGAAAGCAGAAAAAGATAAATATATCTAGATATAAATGCACATGTAACGGTAGGATTGGTGCGTGTGGAATTATAAATAAGTAGTTTCTATTCTCTCCCAATAGAATGTTTATATGTATAGATGTAGGTGTGATGATGACAACTATGAATATAGCCTAGAGGTTTATATCTATAAAATAATCATTCATTTTCAAGAGATATATCCATTGCACATCGTAAATAAATAC